CATACATACCGTAGAAACTGTGAATTTAGCAATTACAATTTAAGGTATCACACGAACCACCGTATGTTCACATAATATTCGTGTATTTTTCGCCTGTCATTTATCCCTTTAAAGGTAAACTTTATATACATTTTACTGGAATTAAGTCCACAAAACGGGAGATTGAAGAGCACGTCCTCTCCCCTGTCCTGATAATACAGCGCACGTGTTTGCCCTTTCCCAGAAAATATATTGCACGTACACCTTTAATTACTGGTTTCCAAACTGTGTTTGTTGTTTTGTTTTGTGGGTGGTAGGTGGTGGGGTGGGGTGTTTAAGGAAACGGTAAGACTGGAGTTTTTTGGTCTGTTTTCAGATTTCACTTGCTGCATGATACTTATGTATCTTTTTGCAATTTTATCTACTTTTCTTTTTTTCTTCACATTTTCTGAGCAGTCTTTCTGTCAGTCTCAATGTTGTCTCTACTGGTCAATAGTCATAGACCAGACGATCTTTTGGGATGATCTGTTGTCCACCTGCCATCCAGCCTTTAGCACAATTTTTATTTTCGCTATTCTTCCTAAACTATTTGGATGATTGCTTTGACACTTTGCATACACACGCAGTCATCCCTTAGTCTAGTTGGCCACAAATGAAAATGGTGCTGATCTCACATCCTGTAGGAACCCTACAGCAGCCATCTTGAAAATCGTTTTTGTTGCTGCTCCCCTCCAAGGGATTGTTATATCAATAGACCATTCTTAGAATGTATTCATGTGAGCCTGGGACAAACCAAAACGCGGCTAAGCTAGGAACCAGCTTATATATTTTTAGAGCCAGGGGACCAAAGTATGGCAGATAAAGGTTTTAATAAACAAATAAAAAGAATAACCCATTTATAAAATGACAATATTTTTAACTTTTTAGACGTGATCCTTACCTATTCTTTTCCTTTATCTAATATCTGAATATACATATTGGGTGTTGAAATTCATCCATCTACCAACTCCATAAAAATAATAATTATAATCAGTGAAGAAGTCCAGATAAATATTGGACCAATTTATATATATATATATATATATATATATATATATATATATATATATATATATATATATATATATATATATATATATATATATATGAACGGCTTTCAAGCAAATAATCCTGCTGTTTTGTGGGTAGATATATAACTGCCAGTCTGTTATTGAAACAAAAAATGAATTTGTATAAGTAAAATCATATATCCATATTGTCAGTTGACCAATGATTCAGAAAAGAAAAAATATGTAATTTAAAGGGAAAATCACAGGCCTTCCCACCCTCAGGCACCAAACGCAGCAAGCACCATAAAAGCAACTAGGCTGTGCAGTTCTGATATAAATTACAATGCATGCATTCTGACATGTACCCAAAACTATTTAAATCACACCATAAAGTCTCTACTGGTTTTGGGGACGTTTTTAGTTAAAAAGGCAGTCTGTATCACTATGCACATTTTGTAAATGTTTTATTCTGACCGTGTGTTTTGCCCACAGTGATGATTAATCATAGAAGTACATTTAAACCTTACCTAATCAGAAACAAAATTTATGCTTTAAATATTTTCTTTTCTCTATTAATAACTTATATTATGTGTGCTGTTCAGAAAAAAGACACTGAGAAAGATTGGACGTAAAACAACTTACGTTTTAGAGAATGGACATATCAAATAAGTTTTCGTCAATATAATATATGTAGCAATAACTCTATAAAATATTCTTGCGCAAAAGGAAGGAATTTCTATAAAATACATTACATCAGGGGTGCACACACTTTTTCAACATGTGATCTCTTTAAAAAATGACGAAGCCAAAATGATCTACCTACCACAAAAATACATAACATAAAATATGCTGACGTCTATTTTTTTAATGTTACGTGATCTGCTCACACTACCTTCGCGATCGAACGGTCAATCGCGATCGACGTATTGTGTACCCCTGCATTACATCCATTACAGCCGCTATCAATATAATATATTCTCTTGCAAAATGCATCTACGTAATATATTATATGTTTTATAGTTGCATCTGCCTAGCTTAGCCTCGTTTTCGTGAGACATTAATATTCATGATGATCTCATTAGGAATGGTCTATACGGGGCTGTTTGTTATGATGTCTAGCTGGATTTAAACCAAAATGGTGCTGATCTTATAACCAATATGACCACCATGACTACCATCACGACCGCTCCGGTGACCTAATAGTTTGAGCGTTTGCCTCGGATGTAGGAGGTCGTGGGTTTAATCCTCGGCCAAGTCATACCAAAGACTTGCAAAAATGGAACAAACAGCTGCCTCGTAAAAATGGTTAAAAGCTACGTTATAAATCTAAATCACGCTCACATCACAACATCACATTATACTTGCTATCACAAACCAATTTAAACGGAAAGTCATTCTGGATTTGGGTTTTCACCAGAAGACTTCTAAATATATCCAGTCGGTATTGTCTTAAATGAAAATGGTACCAATCTGACATTTATTATGACTGGTCCCATCTTTCTTTCCTTATTCCATCTTGAAACTCAGTCAAGAATGAGGGAAAAAAAATAAACCCTAAGTATAGCGAAACAAATGCGCTTCGTTGTTGCGTCGTTTATATTGTGTGTTGTGAGTCGTATTTTACCATCTAACATCACCGACAGTGTCGCTTCAAGTGACCAATTTCGAATTTGACCTAATACTATACAAAATGCTCATATTCTGCAACAAAGCCATTTAAGAGGAATGATCGCAGAAAATGCCATTTTAACTGAGTGTGACATGATTATAAAATCGTGCGGTTGTCTCTAGTTGGTATTTTTCCAAAAGAAGAGAGTTGTGGTAGATGTCTTGTCCTAACAAAGGGGAGATAACCCACTGTGTAGAGAATTCTTAAGATTACACACAGAACAGATCCCAGGCACAGACTCAACTAAACTTTTGGTCACTGATTTGAGTTTAGTCATTTAGACGTTCAGAATTTTATTTTAATCAAATCAGATTCCAAATGTGAGACGTTGTTTCTTGGAAAGACAGTTTGTGCAGAAACAAACATAAATAGAGTGCTGCAATCGAAATATTTATTCCTTAGTGTATTTTTGTCGGGACGATCTTTATCAGGTTCGATCTTAAAAATATGCATACGACTTTACAATGTAAAATTAGTATTTTGTTCGGTTATGCGATGCACTCTTAGCTATACACTGTATTTATTTGCCAACTTGCCTGGCCCTTCCTGTTAGTAAAAAGATCCTCAAATTTATAATAGTTTTACTTTAATTGATCTTTTTCTAAGATGTTAAGTCGCCGTCCGATTATGCATAGATCTTATGAACGCCGTCTTGGTCATAATATGTACTTTCTCTTCTATACATTTCAGATTTTAAGGGCGTTGCAATTCCAAACAAAATTCTGGTAGATGTCTACTTGCAAAAATATATATTTCAACCGTGTTTATTTTACGGCTCACTAAAGAGCATTTACTTGTTAGGTACTTTTAGATAGTGTAGTGTATCAAAGGTCAATACGTATAAAATCTTTCCGTATTACTTTTCATACACTCTTCCCTGGCAACTATATTTAGGGTCTGCTTCTTTTTGCAGTTCTAGTCAGCTAACGAACCCTTTAGTGCACGTCTATCTTTTATATGTATCATCCCTCATTATGTCTTAGCTGGCACTTAAGGCTCTCAACGAGAGAGCGCCATTGCTTTTGGTCTGCAGTTCTGTGTCAGGCCGCATTCCTTCACATCTTTCTCTTTATTCCTCCTCCAAGTCTCTTTGGACCGACTCCTTTTCGTCTCCCAACCAGTATCCGGGGCTATGCATCCAGTGACATTCGGCGTACATACCCCAGCCATTTCCATATTCTTTTTTCACAATATGGACTAGAAATGTTGATTCCGTACTTAGAGGTAACCCTCCGATGACATTGCTTCGTTAAGTCCTAGGCTTGGTCTTGAGTCCGAATTGTTTGGACTTCCATTTGTGTTTCAGCATATCGAAGTTTTGATTTGCTTTGCTAATTCTAGATACAGATTATCTCTCCGAGTTTCCATCTATGGACACCTTCTTTCCATGTTTCCTTCTCTATTTGTTGGTTGTTCACAGCGATAAATTCGTTGATTTAATGATTTGTCCACCTTTTGGTCCTATCTTTATGGCCATGTCACTGACCCCCCCCTCTCTCTCTCTCTCTCTCTCTCTCTCTCTCTCTCTCTCTCTCTCTCTCTCTCTCTCTCTCTCTCTCTCTCTCTCTCTCTCTCTCTCATAAAATAGGTATAGCATATACCACCTAATGCATAAATTATAAATATACATTTGGTTCATGCAACCTGTTCCTTACGCCGATCATCATTTTAACTTGATGAATGGGCTTTACAGGTTGAGAGATTTCATATGAATGTTGAAAGAGACCATATTGTTCACTTCAGCATTGCAGATAATGTAGTGTAATCACATCATTCAGAGAAAAGATTTCTTACCTGTAGAATCTATGCAGAGGTTTTCTTTCTGGGTAAATACATTCCTACTCATCGTGTTTTCTGGTTGGTTGAATTGCTCTGCTTGTTTGGGTTCGCTAGGACTCAGTAGGCAAACAAGTTGTTGTCATCCTGTATCGGTGTCATCGACTTTCACTGGATACACAGCCTTTGACTATACACTACTCAACTTTTGGACTGTGCACATTATTATTCATTTGGAAATCAAAACAACCAACAGAAACTGTTGATTATTCTTGGCTTTAGTTCATCCTGTATTTAGAAGGTAAGAATTCAATTTGATTACGTTTGTTCTTATAACAAAAAAGGGAAAATCATTGGCCCAACGGATTACAGTTACTTGTACACCGAAGTAATGATCAGTAATGTACTTTACATTATTTAATATCAACGCCCTTTTGTGGGTGACAGCTGCCAAATAATAATACTGTTACACACTCTACAACCAGTCATTGCATCAATATGCATATTCGTACACTTCTGACCGGATCGCTCCGGTGGCCTAGTGGTTAGAGCATCAGCTTCGGATGCAGGAGGTCGCGAGTTAGAACCCCGGTCGAGTCATACCAAAGATATAAATGGTACTAACATCTTCCTCGCTAGACGCTCAGCATTAAGAGGTTATTGTTAGGACTTGTCGGCCAGTCAAGATAATGTGACTGGGTTCTACGCTTTGCTCTATGTTTGATAGCGGTTATTTTCATACGAAATGCAAGGAAAAAAGTGTTCAAAAGTGCATATACATTCTCTCTCGATTGTTATAAATTGTTCTACCATAAAACATTTGAAAGGCCCAACTTTCGTTTGAAATCAGTTTCAAAATGACCGGTATCCCATCACAACCAGTCGTTGCTTTTCAGGGCAATACAAATATAATTTTACAGTTTAGATGGATAGACCATCTTTTTCAAATATACCAACATAAGTTAGGGTCCACAATTCTTGTCACGTACTTGAATTTCTCCCACTATATGGGTGACTGATTAACATATAGCTGAAACATCACATTCTAAATCGATATAGGAGTTTCTGACAGAGCTACATATTGTATTCGCTTATACACAAGTGTTTCACCTGGATGGTATATGTAAATGATATCATGAGATTGCTTTATTCACCTTGTCCTGGATTCTCTTTTTTTGTAGATGAAATGGGCGTTGTCTTCCCCCATTTACTTAGCCTTCTAGTTGTCATAGTTCTTTTTTCCTCTCTCAATATTTTTTAGTAATAATTAAAGGATATTGCTTTAATTCACGCGAAGACACTGGATTATTTGCGAAACAAGGATTTAATTAAAAGTTACGAATGGTAGCAGTCAACATTAAAACCACTTTGACTATATCTATGAGACAAATATATACCTCGGATTTAGGTCGGCGCAAAAATTTACATTTGAAAAGACGTGCATTTTTTTTTGTATAACCAGTGAGGAAAACCTGAGAAATTATTCTTTAAAAATCTAACCCTTATACAAAATAAGAAATTGTAGAGGGCAACTTTTTCTGCGAAGAAATTTCAAACAAAATGTAAATTTTTTTCTGCAAATTACTAAATCGACATGCGCACCTTGCTTGTTTTTATTTCGCAGAAATATTTGAGGTCCTCGGAACATGTGAAATGCTTTTCAAAAATACATATTCCAGAAATATTATACGTCTACCAATATGTATCGCATGAAACACTTTACGAGTTTTAAAAACCATGTAGGAACCAATCAAAGACAAATAAATGCCTAATTTTGGTAGATAGATTTTATAATAGAAAACAAGAACTGTTTCATTAATGAGAACAAATTTCGTCCGTATTAAGGCCGTTTCCAGTTATCTCTTGTGAAATGTACACAGCACTACCGATAACTTTAGTAAAATCTTTAATGTGTTTATAGAATGACAGTTGTGCTTCTTTATTTATTTAGTTAGTTATTTACCATGCAGTTGTGAGGTCAACAACATAAAGTGACTTGGGGGCTAACATCTACTTCCTTATTAAACAGTATTCATGCTATTACGTGGCTGTATCAACACGCATTCTGCTATGGCCACCCATAAATGTGTTTCCGGTTGAACGACCGTCCCTATTTCTCATTGCCGACCTTGGTAAATTTTCACCCATGGTTATAAAAAAAACTAAATTTAAAATCACACACACACACACACACACACACACATACATATATATATATATATATATATATATATATATATATATATATATATATATATATATATATATATATATATATATATATATATATAAAACAACCTGCTACCCTAATTTTAAAAAAGTACAACGACAAACACACATCATTTTGTTAGCAAAAAAAACCCTCTAGACCTGTCAATCAAATTATGTTATCCATAATCGATTACATGTATTCTTATACTACTACCAATTTCAAAGGTTGCCAAGGTTCAATACTAGTTCTTGTTGTATTTCCATCGTTAGTAGTTTTGTTGAAGAGATAGTTTTCTTTGCCGACAGTAGTTACCAGACCTTTAAAAGAGTAAATTGTAAGGAAACATATTTGATACACAGGCGTGTTGATTCGCAGGTGTCATTTGAAGGAGCACTATGTACATAATTTTAAATGCACACTATACCACCTACTCTAACAGTTCTTTCGAGGATATCCGAAAATAAACAGGATGCCGGTATCAAAATGTCATACTGCTCGTTGGAATCTTTTTTTTCCTCAATAGTTCTTGCATATTTCAGTATATAGTTTTGTTGGGTTTTTTTTTTTCTCTTCTTTTTAACATACATCTTAAACTTCGTATTATAGCATATGATAGGTCTTCGTAATCTGATATATTACCTTCAACAATGTTAAAGTTATAATTGATATGTAAACGTTACTGTAGAGTTTATAGATCAGGAAAAAATTTCGTTTGCTTGATTATCGATATGTTTCACAGATACATTATTGGACGCTTGATATATCTTTACGCATGGAGAGCCGAGTTCTTTTTGGGTAATACTCTTAAGTTTGCAAGCGATTTCCGCAGTTGCATGCTGAAATAACACCTGGAGTTTACGTGTGCTTTGTAAAACTTCATGACTGCATAGAAGTAAGACCTGTTTTTCCTGATTACTATGGATATTACATTTATACCACAAACGACCACCGATCGACTGAAAAAGGGTGTAACTCAAGGGGATTATGTCTAAATGGTCTATTTTTGTCGCATGCAACAAAGAAGGTTTTTAATGCCAACAGCAACTAGTACCGTATCATTCCCAGGCGAAAATTTGAATTTTCAATATTTATATACAGCATTTTTACCCTCCCGTGTAAAACTTTGATAGCTAGATAATCGTTTTTTTCTTTTCACCCCATTCGCTCAGCAAGTCAGAGGTAAAACAGCAACTGCGCAAATATTTATTTATCTGGGTTTTCGGACGATATGCTCACTCATGTTAATGAATGAGTGTATGGTAACCTGCACTAAATAGTGCAATAGAAATCCGTGGTTACTGGTTACCAATTCGGAGAAGAAATTGACTTTGTGAGCTGACTTGTAAAATATCTTACCTAACTTCTAACCAATGAATAATTTCATACCACTAGCAAGTTCGAGAAACGGCAAGATATAAAAAGAGAATATTCAGGCACACATGCTCTTGTAATGAAAAGAGCGAGGTATATCAACCGTCATAAAGGGATGCTACCATTTTTCATCTAATTGTTCTTCGGACCATTTTATGATATTTTTTTTCTATTTATCCAGTATGTGTATTACCCTTATAATTTACATCAGTAATTGAAACCGTCGCTTTGGCAGCGCATGTAAAATGACCTTGAGAAAGCATTACATTTAACGCGTAAATTACGACCCAAGCCAAAACAGTTGCTGTTCTGTCCATGACCGATTACTGAATTAACCGTAGGATGCATAAATTAATTCAACTTGTCAAACTATAAATTACGTCGTGGATCAGTCCTATAGTGCGGGATCAAAATGCCATGTTTGTTTACGATATAATGTTGAAAAAAAATAATATCATGTTTTAATACATATTTAAATAGAATGAAAATGTTAATGTAACCCAAGGCATACAAAAACTTAGACACGAGAGGTTCATGTGGTTTCTGCTGAGCATATAACATGCTTTTTTAAAACTACTTTTTTATTTCCTGGAACGAACTGTTTTGTTTAATACTTGTGGTGAGAGAACACGCAAACCATGTTTCCAATTTCTTACACCGTGGCATCCAAAAGTTCGTTCGAGAAGAAGCCAGTGCATGTATTAAGGGAAGCTAACAAAGTTACCTAAAATTCAAATTATGTGGACCTAATTTCAATAGTTTTCGTACATTTACTTTTTTTCTACACAAATTTAAGGTCAACGCTTTTCACGTATGCATGATGTCATTATGCTTTTTGTGATGGCTATAACGCATGTAGTAGGGTCACTCTATTTTTGAATATACCAGTTAATTATAGATGCAACTGTCAAATTCATATAGGTTGTTGTATTGTGTTGGCTTTAACACGACTTATAACACATTATTGGTCATTTCATGGAGAGAGAATGGGAGCAAATTGCCTTTCCTATGTACGTACCAAGACAGTCGTACCGGCTTGACCTGGATGTCTATCAAAACTACGACCCTTGGTTACAAGTCCAAGGCTCTATCGTCTAACTACGGCAGCTCCCGGTCAATCGAAGGCTAACACATTCCACCCGTCTAGGTCGGTAATATGCGAGCGAGGTAAGGTCATAACCCATAATCACCTGTGTGCCTACATATTCGCTAGTTAATGTTCCGATAACCCTATCTACACCTTGGCATATTGAGCAGATATTTCTTAGTTTCGGATCTGTAAAACTCATTGGATGCGGCCACCGCATAATGCACAAAGTGATTGCTTAGTTGGCATTATATACTAAGGGTGGCGACACGTGAAATCTAATAGATCTCGCTAGTACAAACTACCAATATAGCTGTTTTGGACGAAAGTAAATGATTAATGGAATTCTTCAACATAATTGCATTTTCAAGAAGCTGACGAGAGAACAGAGTGCTCGTCATTCCCATAATGATGGATATGTATTCCTTCCATAATTAGAACATTTTGTTGACTAGCGGTTTGGATGGTTGACAGAGCATATAGGAAATGGTTGATAAACATATTTTGAGAATTTAATTCCTTGTAGTCAACACCGTGTCCTGAGATTCGTCCGTTAAGGTATGCATGGTTTAGTGTGAAATGTTAACTGACGTTTTCAACTACGTTAACTCTAATCTACCAAGTCATGGTTTTTTTTTTAAAAAAAAATTATGACATTGTGTTAAACGCTTTACTTAATTGAAAATATAATATAGGTTTACAATAACTAACAGCTACTCATCCAACATGACTGGTCATATCGACGTTGTGGTTTTACCAGAAGACTTCTTATGATATATAGTTAGTCGTAAATGGAAATGGTACGCATCTGATATCCAATATGCCACTATGGCAGCCATCTTTGAAAAACTTGTTATTCTTACTTCTACATTTAACGGTTAAAAGTAAGAAATTGCCTTATCATACATTCCTGCAGAAATTATTTTTCGCCCGAAAGAGTAGTAGTTTTGATTGACTCTTGTTTAATTGTATTTTTGACGTCATTCTTTCGAGTATTATCTAATAATATTTTTTTTTATTTTCCAAGGTGAAACATATTGACCTTTTATAATTTTATTAGTTTTTATCACAATACGTTGTGACGAATATATTTTGGCATACATACATACACACACACACACACATATATATATATATATATATATATATATATATATATATATATATATATATATATATATATATATATATATATATATATATATATATATATATATATATATATATATATCTGTGGATCATGGAGCCGCGGTACCTTACAGTGCCGGATTAAACCCTATACAGACCCCTAAGCAGTCAAAATCTCGCCCCTCCCGCTCACTCAAATTATTTCCTAATACGTCAAAATCATACCAATTCAATATTATTTTGATCCATTGTCGTTGGATCCCTAAAAGGTGTGTGGCCCATAGGCCGGTGCCTACTCTGCTTTTTTGGTAATCCGGCACTGGTAGTTTAGTTTGTGGATCGTCGGACACGTAATCCACGGGTGGTGGTCTCGCTAACCCTCCAGGTCTGGTTGAAGAAAATGGCCAGTAGCCAAAAAACAACGATAGGATGTGCTTTTAATGAAATTGTTGTATCTCCTTCAATCCTGATTTTTGTGCTATAAGCGTAGAGATCGCTACAGATCTTCTACATCTTCTCTATTATTGTATGCTAAAGTTCTAAACAAATATCAATATCTTCGTGGAAACGGTCTATAAATTATATAAGGACAGATATCAAACGGCTTTAATACACTATTAATAGATACAAGTGTATTAGCTGGAATTTGGAACGATTGGTTAATTTGACGTTTTGGCTGACACTGGAATTATCCTACGTTTCTCACTAACAGAAGCACTTGTTACAGAAGCAAACAAAAACATCAACGGAAACAAAACATACGTCTTCTCTGGTGATACATTTACTGCTTCCTTAAGTCGACTTCTTTTGGTATAGAAAGAGAGGTTAATATGAACGAGCAGATTAAAGCAAACATGCGATGGATTTAAGTTATTATAATATCATTTTACTATACTTTTTCAGGCAGTCATTTCTGTAGAGAGCTTAGAATTTCTTAGATGTAGTTTTCTAATTCCTAGAATTGTTACGTAGAAAAAAGGTAATCAAACTGAAAAAGCGACAGTCCAATCTTAAATCTTCATCAGTGTTTGTCCTTCCGTTTTCTCAGCCAAGCCAAGAACCATTACTACTACTACTACTACTACTACTACTACTACTACTACTACTACTACTACTACTACTACTAATAATAATAATAATAATAATAATAATAATAATAATAATAATAATAATAACGAGGACTTTTATATAGCGCCTAATTTTTAGAAGCCTTAATCGCTTTACAACATTTTACAACATAGAAAGAGTAATATAATTTTTCAGTCATATAACTACGATGTCTGCAGTGTGGCAGTTTGCCGTGAACATGAAGCATGATGTCTTACAATATCCTGACACCAGTATTCGAAACTTCGAGTCTTATATGTAAAGGACATTACAACAATATGATAAATATTTTCAGAAGAAAAAAGATGCTGTTTTTCATTGCATCATGACTGTATGTGTATACGATAAACTGCAAATCTTCAGTCTAGACATATTTGTTATGACGATTGAAATTAATCAAGCTGCAGTTATTTAGAGTGCAACAAGTTATTTTGTACAACGACAATCTCAGTTCAGTTATATATGACAAATTATTTTGTTAAACACTTTCAAATCGGGCATGTATGACAAGTTATTTTGTATCATGACATTTTCAAATCATTTATAATTGACAAATTAAAATAAAATTATGATTCAGAATCAGAGAAAACATAACATTTAGAATGTATCGGGACGGAATTAGCGGATATTGCCGCCAGAAGCGGAAAACCATCAGCAGGTGCTTGTTGTTTGGATTAAAACTTCATTCATGTAAATAAATAGAATATTTAGTCCAGATATTTTGTCTGTACTATATCTGTCACGTTGAAAGGTAGTTTTATATTCTTAATCATCATGGTATTTCCTTTCTTTTTTTTTAGTTTACCGTATCATCTGTATTTCCTGATGTGCATAAGCTTGGAACCACATTATACAATTGCAAAGTGGGATATGTAATGTTCTGTTATGAAAGTCTGCATGGTTGTTCTCCTATCTACTTTAGGTTTTGACTTAAGTCCACTAGAATATGGATTGTTTTCAAGAATTGCGAATCATAGCAGTGTTTCTATTTTAGTCTCCAAAATATACATTCTGTCAACATGTCTATTTATATTAGTTCTGCTGGACATACTCCAGAAGAGCTTAACGGAGGATATTCTGTTGTCCGTCGTCATTCTGTTGTCTGTTGTACGTACGTCCTTAGCATAAATTTATCGCTACTCATTCTAAACTGCCATGATTCGCTGTAGATACACCAGGCAGTCCTAAATGAGATTTTCTGACATTCCAAAAGATTCATTATAGTCTACATTTCCATTGTTGTCATAGAGACGATACAGCAGCGTTCATCGAAAACGCGTTCTTGGCTGTATTATACACGGCTTGAACATTAGAGCCCTTTAGCAAATGTAATCAAGCGGTCTTGTGATTTCATTATCCAGTACACGCAGGATAGATGTGATTGTTAATTAGGGAATATAACAACGTTCGAATAGTCCATTGTCTTCCAGAGAAAGCACGAAATTACACGAAAATAAAAACATCGTTAATGATGTTCAACATATTTTTGTAAATTAATATACTATGGATTAAATACGATATATACAGACGAATTTACATAGTACCAGGGTCAATGAATAACTGAAATTTTGATTATTAAAGTAAGATCAACATTATATATATATAATTATATATATATATATATATATATTATATATATATATATATATATATATATATATATATTATATATTATATATTATATATATATATATATATATATATATATATATATATATATATATATATATATATATATATATATATATATATGAATGTTATTTATGGTTACCTTTTTTGAATGTTACTCTTAATTGGCATATAGCCCTTTCAGTGATGACGTGCCACTAAACCTGAATCCATAGTTAATAAATATCACAAATAAACTTTGTTATGTAACAGAACTCTACACATTATTTACACCAAATGCCAGACTCTTGTGTTGGCTCACTGAAATACTAGCTTGCGTGTTATCTTTAATTATGGGATTCTGCGTTGGCTCACAGAAATGCTGCTTGTGTTATCTTAAATTTTGGGATTCTGTGTTGACTCGCAGTAGTGCTACTTGTTTTTTCTTTAATTTTGGGATTCTGTGTTGACTCTCACAAACACACAAGCTTGTGCATTATCTTTAAATCTGGGAGTCACTTTATGGCCATTGATACACATTGCTAATTGTTGTATAAGAAAAACACAACATTAAACAATCTTCTAGCTGTTATATGTGGACTGCATAGTTAACATGGATGCTAAAGAAACCATGTCAAACTATGCTCACGTCTCGGTTCGTGCTGATCTTTAAATGAAATTGACCGATCCGGTGGCCTAGTGGTTAGAGCGTCTGATTCGGATGCGGGAGGTCCCGGTTTCGAACCCATGCCGAGTCATACCAAAATCTTTTAAAATGGTACTAACAGCTGCCTCGCATGGCGCTCAGCATTAAGAGGTTAGTGTTAGGACTGGTCCGCCTGGTGTCAGGATAATGTGACTGGGTGGGACGTTATGCCACATATCATCGGCAAGATGTACCAGTGCTAGACATCACTATAATCTGTCACACTGCAGACATCGTAGCGATATGACTGAAAATTGTTACAGCTACGTTAAAATCTCTCTCTCTCTCTCTCTCTCTCTCTCTCTCTCTCTCTCTCTCTCTCTCTCTCTCTCTCTCTCTCTCTCTCTCTCTCTCTCTCACACACACACACACACACACACACACACAAACACTTTAAGTGAAACAACAGCATACTCTGCAGTTGCAACTTTTTACTTTACCTGTTCCATATATAATAATGAAATTTCAAATCGTTTTAAGTTTGCCGCCACCCCTCATCTCCAACCCATTTGAAACACGAGAAGAGATCATTTGCTCACTGTCTAAAGAGAAATTAAGCTTAATAGACTAATATATATTCTTACTGTCTTAAAAAACTGAAATATAGTATAGTAGTTCAGTTGTACCTACATTTCCCCATAACAGCCCATAACACATTATGACGCATAAGGCTTCATCAGACTCGATACTCGATGATCATTTAAGGTGTTGTTTTGGTGTTTAGCGCCATTTCTGAGCGCAAGATAGACTATATAGCTGCCATTTTAACTGGTGGAGGCAGAACCCTGGAAACCTCCGGTTAGAAACACCGACCTACGGGAAGGAACTGACAACTTTCTCACTTTCTTTTTCCCCAACCACCAAGTCTTTTTTTATTTAACTACGATGTACGATTGTATTATTATGAATGTTCTGAGGAGGATTCCAAACTGTTACGTGAATAGAAGAGTAGACAAGGTTCAGAAACAAGAAATAAAAAATTGGAAGAGAGTTTTAGTTGTGATGACAACCAAGATCAACAGTAAGCAAAAAAAAAAAAACCACCCACCCCCCAAAAATAAATAACAAAACATCCCTCCCCACAGCCAACAACAGCACATCCGTTGTGGAGCTACCGTTATCTTAGCCTTTGTGGTAAATCACCAAAGCTTCCATTTGGTCTCTCTTTCATTTGATTTATAAATTTAGACTGTGAATGCACTTGGAGGTGAGGAAGACATCAACAATACATTCAATTCACGGACTCGTGACCCAACGTGCCAATAGTTGTAATAGCAAATAATTTATTCAAGGCCAGACCTTTAAATCCTAAAATCCATTTTGGGCATTGTCTTTGTGCCCGATCCAACGTTACCATTGCCCAATCATTTTGCTTCTTGTCAAACCCTCTTCACTGTTTATTACAGTTTGTCTTGTAATTTATTTTCGTAAATAAGTAATTAATTTCGAAGACACTGGACAAGATTGCGATTAGTACGATATCTGCTTCGAGGATTATTTTGTGCTCAGGAAGATTAATTGCAGTTGGTAATGGAGTTCCTAGTTGGCACTGTACCATAATTTTGTTGGAGGGTTTTATTTGCTTCGTTATGAGTCAAATGTTAGACTGAATTTTGCATTTGTTTTCGTGTTTTCCTTTTGAGACAAGAAATATCATCAAGAAATGTAATAAATCAGCGATTTTATATCTGGAGCCAAAAAGTATTGCCTCACTTATAATAGATATATGCAGCATGATGATTGCTTGAAATAGCTAGTCCTATTTTATATCTACTGGCACGAGCACTACTACGTTGATGGTGGTTTTCAAATCAAGCTCTTCCTTTAAAATTTCTAGACCCCCTTAGTCGTCCCAAGAAGAAACGTGCCACATTCTACAGAGTTTAACTGATATCCATTTCAGCTAATTACTTTTCGGGATTAAACGACTAATTCATTTTCCTTAGAACTTACTGTTAATATACAACAACAACAAAAATTGGCATACAAACCATAATTTCTTCCAATCATTAGAGTTAGAGATATTTTATTCAGCCTTGAAAAACAGGTTATACACGGTATTGTTTTGTGTCTGGTGCTAAACATGACGATCTTTGGCCTGCAACTAAAACAAAATTCGCACAAAAAGTTCGTGTACTTTGTCAGTAGGAATTTAACTACAGATTATCCAATATAGAGCAGATTTATTTGTTTTCAACCATAATGCATCTAGTGAAGTTTATAAAATTAACCATTGAAAAAATTAAATCCATTTACTGGTCAATGGGTGTATGTCAAATTATGTAGCACTATGGTTTTCTGTCTGTAAAATAATTGGTAGCCGGTCTCGAGGGGGGGGGGGGCACAGGGATATCGTGTATCGCCACTTCTCCCCCAGCCATAAGGGCCCCTGGTTGTTGTGGATCACGTGTTTAAATAAACCTTATATAGATCTTTTTCATTTTTGCCCCTTGCTCACAATGTTCAGCTGATTCTACCAATATCCCGAAAGAGAAGTATGTGAGAGGCGCCTGAATTTCAGAAGCCGTGAGAAGTGCTTTATCAGCATTGGATTTTCTATAATCATTTTAAGTAACCAATGTTACTATTTAACATACATTTTCTCACCCCACAGGCCATATCCCTCCTGAATTCATGTCGAATCGAGGCCATGTGTATTTTATCAGTTCCACTGAAATGATCTCCTGACAAATCCAGATCAAGCCCTTAGAGACATATTTCTTCATTTACTCTATCATTCTAACAAACATTGCCTGACACTATCGCCCTGATGCTTTGCACAAACTGCTAATACAAACTATTATCACAGTTAACCATACAATGTAAGAACAACTTCCAAGCCTTGGTGATTCTGTTGGGTTCCACAAAATTCTTTGCTATTCAAATTGAGATGTTGTTATCTAGATAAACTATATTTAGCTCGATGTAAACAACAAAGTTTTAGAGCTGGTTGTAGGTAAGATATTTTATTAATGTCGTTAAGAATCTAACTTGAAGGTCTGTGTTTTATTTTAGTTATGTGTTTAGTCTCTAATTTTCAATGGTTATTCTCTATAAAGAATGTGCATTTTGGCAAGATGAATCCCTGGCCACACTTTCAGTGATATTATACTTATCGCTATTGCTACCAAAAACAGCTGGAGTTACGAAACCAGGAAGGAAAAATAATCATACTGGATACGCCGCCTTAGAACATTGAAACCAAGCGGTCTAAACCAAGAAGACTAGAAAATGAAAACTATGCACTAGCAGAATTTAACATTTTCTAAATCTTCTTATTATCCTTCAATTTTTACTATAAGAAAAACCGGTATAGAATCAAATATCCGGGATATAATCTGCGTTACATAAATGTACAAAAAGTAAAAATAGATGTCGCTTTGGCTTGTAGACTTTTAGGGAATTATACACCGTTTTCAGTTTCCGCAACTAGTCTATACAAGCTGGTTGTATTTATAGTTTTAACACATGTGGAGACAGCCATGTAGAGGTTTACAAACACAACGTTTTTGTGTTTATTTGTTTGTCGTATATATGTTTTGTATTTGCCTTTGAAAAAGACTCATTAAGAGTCGAAAGCGCTTAGGCTAGTTAGTTACTAGTTTCGTACTGTTCGTCGTCAGTTTGTTGCATCTATTTTAATCAATCTCTACCACACGTGATCCCTTGGTGGAGCCAGTACGCTTGAAAGTGTTGTTATTCGCCATATGATTTGTATTCTTTATATATATATATATATATATATATATATATATATATATATATATATATATATATATATATATATATACCTTCCACACCATGCAAATTTGTTACAGCTTTATATAAAGCTGAGAGCGATGAACATAGAGAAAGAAGTACGTGTATATGGTAATGAGATATCATACACGTGATAACCATTATCAGAGCTATTGTCAATACCGCAAGTCATGGGGAAGACTATCAACGAGGCTGGGGTTTGGGTGTCCTAATTCAGGCATTCAGAGTGGATAACGTAATTGTCCCAGACGGCACTAATTAGATTTTTTTTTACTGTGTAAGTTCTCATTTTTGAAATGATGATAATAAAATTAGAACTGATATCAGTGACTTCTTTTTTGCTTCCATTACACGTTGCGATAGAAGAGTTTCTGCTTCACATAACTAGTTTTAAGTCTTGAGTGCAACAGATTTTTAAAAAAGGCAAGAAAATGAGTCCAGTCTAAACAATTAATCAGCAAAAACGGTTGGAAAAAAGTCACCTGTCGAATACACCTGAATCTGAAATTTGAACAGACAGATTACGAGATGGGTCAATCTGACAGACTGAGGACAGTATTTTCAAACCATCAGACGGGTTGTGCAGGTGTGGTATTGTTTTAGTTTACAGCCTAAAAGCTACTATTAGAAACATCTGGCAAGTAACTAGTCTATCTGAAATGCGTATAACTGGTCTGTTTGATACGCATGTAATTGGTCTATCTGATATGCATGCAATAGGTCGATCCAATATGCCTGTAACTGGTCTACTTGGTATATTCAACAGGAGGTCTATTCACTTTTCCATTGAAAAAGAAACCGACACATTAATTTTGATTTTCCATTTCCTTCTCTTACTTGGTCTACTAAAATTTGATTTAAAAATTTGAACCAAAATATGTGCCTTTTCCATAATCTTTTAGGAAAATACAAGTTTTAAAATAATTTTTATCTCTTTCGTGATAAGTACCAGCTTACAAGAATATTGAAAACATGATGTAGTAAATAATAATATATGGTCAACAGCTATAATAAAATAAAATGCACACATGCTTCAGTAACTAAAAAAATATACTGCCAAGAAAGATAGCAAAATAAAGTTTGCTCGCTCCAGTTTTCATTGGTTAAAGACCTTCGTTCGACACGGGTAATACCACATACTTTCAAAGAAACGCTGTTGTTTGATATTATAATAATGTGTTTTAAAAAGAAAATGAACCAGGATCAGTTAATGTCTTAAGAGGCACGCGACAGTAAAGAATAAAAACTTACGGAGAAGTTGAAACTTAAATTGTTCAGTGTATACCGACAAGT